AGGAAGAGGCAGCCTGTGTATTTCAGCGCCTGTTATGGTTAATCCTGTATAGCTGGTCATATATACTTTGCAACACCGCTTTCAAAAAGGTCAGATCCTACATACAGATTTCACTGCAAACGTGTCATCCCGGCAGTTCTTAATTCAGGTTTGCCCCTAGGTGGAGGGGAAGGTATGGTGTCCGTTTTCCCACATCTATGGCTACCCTGTTACTGAAGTAAATTGACATGGATTGCTTTCAATATGAACCTTTTTAAATGTATCTATGCACAGGGTAAGTGGCATATTGTGTATATATTAGTGGTGCACCAAAATTAAAATTCTGGTACCGAAAACGAAAATTCAAAATGCACTTGGCCGACAACCGAAATGCGCAGTTTTTTAAAAAATATATATATATATTTTGAAAAAAAATACACCTAAAAAAAACCAATATATACCCCAATTTTTTTGTAACATATAAAAGAGGATGTTACGGCGAGTAAATAGATACCCAACATGTCACACTTTAAAATTGCGCACGCTCGTGGAATGGCGTGTTACCCATATTTGTTACCCAGGCTGGGCTTAAAACATGTCTGCTTTTGTTTATCTCTATTAGTGGTGCACCAAAATGAAAATTCTGGTGCTGAAACCGAAAATTCAAAATGCACTTGGCCGAAAATTGGAACTGAAATGTGCTGTTTTTAAAACAATGAATATATATTTTTTGGAAAAAAATACACGTTGATTAAAAAAATAAAATATATACCCCAATTTTTTTGTAAAATATGAAAGGATGTTACGGCGAGTAAATAGATACCCAACATGTCACGTTTTAAAATTGCGCATGCTCGTGGAATGACGTGAAACTGCGTTACTGAAAAATCTCCATGGGTGACGCTTTAAAAATGTCTACAGGTTAGCGGTGTAAAGTTATAGAGGTCTAGTGCGAGAATTATTGCTCTTGCTCTGACGTTCCTGGCGATACCTCAAGTGTGTGGATTGAACACAGTTTACGTATGTGGGCAAGGCCTACGTATGCGTTCACCACTACATGCGAGCACGGGGGCACTTTAAACTTTTTTTTTTTTCTCCTTTGCTCCGGTCCTCCAAGGGCATGGAGATGAGTGGCGGCCATCATTCCTTCACCCATCTCTATGCCCAGCACCGGGGTTGATGGTTTCTCAGGTAAGGCCGAGAACTACCAAGGGGCGGGGGTTTTTCGGCACCTCTATTAGTGCTTTTTTTTTTTTTTTTTTTTCGTCCGAAACTTATCGGCCACCGAAATTTCGGCGCTTCCCTAGTATATATGTTCTGGTGGGGATGTCTTGTGAGCAGTCTTCTCTAAATCCCCATTCACACTAGTGTGTTTCAGGAGAAATGTGTTACCCTCTTGGTGCTGACTGTACACACATATGCGGCTGCTCGGCATATACGGCCCTGTTAAAACAGCTTACTGTACAGAGCGCATGGTAGCCAGCGGGGATCGGTAACCTCTTGATGCATGCTTGCGATCGGGGCTTTCCAGTCACATGACTGCTGTGCTAGCCAATCGCATGACCCAAATGTCTGCCTCCCGGCTTTTAGAACTTTTAAAGGGCCAGGAGGCGGTTGGCATGAAGGGGGTAAAAGGATAAGTATGACCAAAGCTCTCCTCCTTGGGGTGCACTTATACACATAGTCCAGCCTCTGCCTGCGCCAGCTGTCCCTTGAACCCTCCACAGCCCAGCTCTCCAGTGATTGTTGGAGGGGCAGAGCAGAAAGCTGGTGACTGACAGGTATTGGCTCGCTGCTCACTGAAGACTTGAGAACTGAGCGATGGTTTTTGGTGTAGAGCCAGCGAGGGACAGCTGCAGCAATTGGATTGATGCTGCAGCCATCTAGGTGAATATTTTATTTTATTTCAGGTATAGCGCTGTCAATTTACGCAGCGCTTTTACATGCATATTGTACATTCACATCAGTCCCTGACCCTCAAGGGGGGTACAATCTAAGGTCCCTAACCCTCAAGGGGTGTACAATCTAAGGTCCATAACCCTCAAGGGGTGTACAATCTAAAGTCCCTAACCCTCAAGGGGCGTACAATCTAAGTCTAAGGTCCCTAACTCACATTCATACATACACATACTAGGGACAATTTAGACAGGATCCATCTCACCTACCAGCATGTCTTTGGAGTGTGGGAGGAAACCAGAGGACCTGGAGGAAACCCATAAATTTTATATATATATATATATATATATATATATATATATATATATATATATATATATATATATATATATATACAGTCATGGCCGAAATTGTTGGCACCCTTGATATTTTTCCTGAAAATCAAGTATTTCACACAAAAAAGGTATTGCATTAACACATGTTTTGCTATACACATGTTTATTCCCTTTGTATGTATTGGAACAAATATAAAACAGAGGCAGAAAAGCAAATATGACATAATGTCACACAAAACCCCAAAAATGGGCTGGACAAAAGTATTGGCACCCTTAACTTAATATTTGGTTGCACACCCTTTGGAAAACATAACTGAAATCAGTCGCTTCCTATAACCATCAATAAGCTTCTGACACCTCTCACCCGGAATTTTGGACCACTCTTCCTTTGCAAACAGCTCCAGGTCTCTCTTATTGGAAGGACACCCTTTTCCCAACAGCAATTTTAAGATCTCTCCACAGGTGTTCAATGGGATGTGTTTCAAGACCCTCTTGGTGATTAGATCTGGGCTCATTGCTGGCCACTTCAGAACTCTCCAGCGCTTCTTTGCCATCCATTTCTGAGTGCTTTTTGACGTATGTTTGGGGTCATTGTCCTGCTGGAAGACCCAGGATCTTGGACGCAAACCCAGCTTTCTGACACTGGGCCCTACAGTGCGACCCAAAATCCTTTGGTAATCCTCAGATTTCATGATGCCTTGCACACAGTCAAGGCACCCAGTGCCAGAGGCAGCAAAACAACCCCAAAACATCATTGAACCTCCACCATATTTTACCGTAGGTACTGTGTTTTGTTCTTTGTAGGCCTCATTCCGTTTTTGGTAAACAGTAGAATGATGTGCTTTACCGAAAAGCTCTATCTTGGTCTCATCTGTCCACAAGACGTTTTCCCAGAAGGCTTTTGGCTTACTCAAGTACATTTTGGCAAACTGTAGTCTTGCTTTTTTATGTCTCTGTGTCAGCAGTGGGGTCCTCCTGGGTCTCCTGCCATAGCGTTTCATTTCATTTAAATGTCGACGGATAGTTCGCGCTGACACTGATGCTCCCTGAGCCTGCAGGACAGCTTGAATGTCTTTGGAACATGTTTGGGGCTGCTTATCCACCATCCGGACTATTCTGCGTTGCAATCTTTCATCAATTTTCCTCATCCGTCCACGACCAGGGAGATTAGCTACAGTGCCATGGGTTGCAAACTTCTTGATAATGTTGCGCACTGTGGACAAAGGCAAATCTAGTTCTCTGGAGATGGACTTGTAACCTTGAGATTGTTGATATTTTGCCACAATTTTGGTTCTCAGGTCCTCAGACAGTTCTCGTCTCCTCTTTCTGTTGTCCATGCTTAGTGTGGCACAGACAGACACACAATGCAAAGGTTAAGTGAACGTCTCTCCTTTTTATCTGCTTTCAGGTGTGATTTCTATATTGCCCACACCTGTTACTTGCCCCAGGTGAGTTTACAGGAGCATCACATGCTTGTAACATTCTTATTTATCCGCAGTTGAAAGGGTGCCAATACTTTTGTCCAGCCCATTTTTGGAGGTTTGTGTGACATTATGTCGAATTTGCTTTCTTTCCTCCCTTTTTTTGTTTTGTCCCAATACACACAAAGGGAATAAACATGTGTATAGCAAAACATGTGTTAATGCAATACGTTTCGTGAGAAATACATGATTTCCTGGAGAAATATCAAGGGTGCCAACAATTTCGGCCATGACTGTATATATATAAAATTTATTTCTTTCAGGTACTTGTATAGCACCATCAATGTATGCAGTGCTTTACATATATATTGTACATTCACATCAGTCCCTGACCCTCAAGGGGCGTACAATCTAAGGTCCCTAACTCACATTCATACATACACATACTAGGGCCAATTTAGACAGGAGCCAATTAACCTACCAGCATGTCTTTGGAGTGTGGGAGGAAACCGGAGTACCCGGAGGAAACCCACGCAGGCACAGGGAGAACATGCAAACTCCAGGCAGGTGGTGCCGTGGTTGGGATTCGAACCAACGACCCGAGTACGGCCAGGCGGAAGTGCTAACCATTTAGCCGCTGTGCTATGTATGTTTTTGATTTTTTTAAACTCCCTTTTCTTTTAATAGAAAATGATTGCACCTTTGATGCACTTTTATTACAATGCACCTAAAATGCATCGGCCAGGTGTGAACCGGGCCTTAGATGCTCTGTACCTATCAGGAATGGGTGGAATGTTTGCAGTATTCTTCATTTTCACAGCAGTCTTATTCATTTCAGTATTGATAGTTGTCCTTCAGCTGTCTTTCATAGCTATACTTGACCTATTGATCGAACGTGAGTGAATCGGATCTGTCTAGGGCTGGAGAGGTTTATATATTCCCTTGTCTGTTGCTCGGAGTCTAGGTTTTATTTTTTTAGCGGATCAACACGTATGGCGGTGTGCTTGCTGTTGTGATACGGGTACATTACATTTGGGAAAAACGACTCCGGAGAATTGTAAACTGATATATGCAGAAGATATGTTTTAAATTAGTCGCTCGTTAAAACTATTTATAAGCTAATAATGGAGTCCTCTTCATAGACCAGAACATAATTCACCTGCATTCCTCTCCCATTAAAGTATTAAAGTATATGTGATCTGTATTTATATTGCTCACCTGCCATTTTCCACTCGGTGTAACCAGAATTTCTTGATTTATGGGAACTGATCTGTATCCTTCTCTTGCAGGTGGCAGCAGTACAGGATGCAAGTCCTCCTCCTCTGTGTGTCTGGCTGCCCCTTTTGCCTTTGTCCCCACTGAGGCAAGCATGTCGAGCCAGCACAGCCACGCTCCTTTCTCCGGCCTCCAATCATCAATGGCTGATCATCAGCAGGTAAGCCTCATTCACATACCTGAACGTTCAATCCTTTCTTTTTGTGTGTTTATGGTAAAGACGTTAAAAGTGTATTTTAGGGGGGCCTTGCCCGCAAGGTACCGTATTTTTCGCTCCATAAGACTCACTTTTTCCCCAAAAAAATATGGGGGAAAATGTCTGTGCGTCTTATGGAGCGAATACTGACCAGTCCTCCACCTGTCACCGCTGCAGTGTTAGGGCCAGCGGCTGGCCCATCCCACTATAGCCTGTCCCCTCCCACTGTAGCCTGTCCCCTCCCACTGTAGCCTGTCCCCTCCCACTGTAGCCTGTCCCCTCCCACTGTAGCCTGTCCCCTCCCACTGTAGCCTGTCCCCTCCCACTGTAGCCTGTCCCCTCCCACTGTAGCCTGTCCCCTCCCACTGCAGCCTGTCCCCTCCCACTGCAGGATGTCACCGAAGTTCACCCTACCTTATCCCCTCAGCTCTTCATAACAGGCAGTCCCCTCACCGAACCCAGCCAGCTTGCTCTGCAGGCGTGGCCTGTCCTCGGAGCTCCTCCCCGCTCCTGGCATGTCTATGTACTGCGCTCCCTGCTCTGCAGTCCGGTCTGCAGGTGTGGCCTGTCCTTACAGCTCCTCCCCGCTCCTGGCATGTGTCCATAGTGCGCTCCCTGCTCTGCAGTCCGGTCCTGTCTGCTGGTGTGGCCTGTCCTCGGAGCTCAGTGCGCCCCCTGCCTTCTGTAAGTTAAAAATGACAGATGCTGGCAGTTGTAGTCCTTTTCCTTGATGTATGGTGACAGATCATTTGATATTCTGGGTGGTGGGGCCCTGTTGGGACTTTATATGATGTAGTATGTCCGCAGTCTCCCCTGTACTGGTCGTCCCGTCCCCTGTACTGTGTCCGCAGTCGGTCGTCCCCTGTACTGTGTCCGCAGTCCGGTCGTCCCCTGTACTGTACTGTGTCCGCAGTCCGCAGTCTCCGGTCGTCCCCTGTACTGTGTACGGTGTCCCCTGTACTGTGTCCGCAGTCTCCGGTCGTCCCCTGTACTGTGTCCGCAGTCTCCGGTCGTCCCCTGTACTGTGTCCGCAGTCTCCGGTCGTCCCCTGTACTGTGTCCGCAGTCTCCGGTCGTCCCCTGTACTGTGTCCGCAGTCTCCGGTCGTCCCCTGTACTGTGTCCGCAGTCTCCGGTCGTCCCCTGTACTGTGTCCGCAGTCTCCGGTCGTCCCCTGTACTGTGTCCGCAGTCTCCGGTCGTCCCCTGTACTGTGTCCGCAGTCTCCGGTCGTCCCCTGTACTGTGTCCGCAGTCTCCGGTCGTCCCCTGTACTGTGTCTGCAGTCCATTAGTTCAGAATATTTTTTTTCTAGTTTTCCGCCTCTAAAACCTAGGTGCGTCTTATGATCAGGGGCGTCTTATGGAGCAAAAAATACGGTAATTGTTTTGTAGAAACATTGTGCTCCCTCTGGCCCTAAAAGCTGAAATACTCCCTAGAGTTAGATGTGCATCGAAAACCCTCCACTGAAGTGTATTTTGGGTAGCTTTTCAGTGGCTGAGGTGATGCGACGTCTTCTCGCTGCTTGTTTTAACCCCGAAATGTGCTGCAATGCATGTGGTTGCTGGGTGTTTGCAGCGCTTCCCCATTCAATTGAAAAGGTTGTGTTCAACAGGTTTGCCGCTCAGCAATCCCAACAGGGCTCGGGCATGAATCGAAGCTTTGCGGCGTGGCATAACCCATGTTCTGTGATGCACAAGGAAAACAGGCAGCGTTCAGGTGTAAGCATTATTCAGCATTATGAGGTGCAAAGTCAGCTGATTTATTTACTATGAAAACTCATAAGAATTTTGCTGCAATACAGATGTTGATGTAGACCAGTGTTTGCTGTAGTGAGGTCCAGTAGAAGTCATATGGCCTTTGCTGAACATCCTTGTGACGAGAGGCTGATACCACTTGGTGTAAGATGATCGTCTTTCTAGGGATGTGCGTGTTTTAGGGAACATTTATGGAAAAGATTTCTAATATGTTTTGTATTTTGGCAGTGTACTGTGTAGAACTTGACCCTTTTTTTTTTTTTTGTATTTCAATATTTTTATTTATAAACAGTTTAACCCCCCTGGCGGTATTCCCGAGTGTAGCTCGGGGTAAAGTTTCAGCACCACAAGCGTAACCCCAAGCTACACTCAGGAATACACTGCAGCGTTGCTTCGGGATCTCTTCTTCACTTACCTTGTCCTTCGCTCCCGCGATGTCCCCCCTGCAGTGTCCCCTGTAATGTCCTCCGGCCGATGCCGGCATCTGTCTTCCGGGTTCCTTTCTCTCAGGACGTACGGGGACGGAACTGGCGGGAAATTTTAAAATTTTAAAAGTGACATTCACTAAATTCACTAAAATCTGTTAATTTACTTATTCATGAACCCCCTTGGAGGTATACCATTGCACAGAGCAGGTAAGCATACTTTTTAAAAAAATTTTTAATTAAAAAAAAAAAAAAAAATAGTAAAATTGGCCTTAATAGCCATTTTAATCCACTATTTACCATCCGCACCATCATTGGCATACCTGTCTTTTGCAGTAAGCGTAGACTTTTACTTTGGGGTTATGATTTTATTTGATGTTCATTGTTGTCTGCTTTTTTTTTTTTTTTTTTTAGGTCCTGCCAGACATGACAATTTTACAACGGCGGATTCCATTAACCTTCCGAGATTCAGCAGCTGCACCTCTACGGAAGCTTTCAGTGGACTTGATAAAGACTTACAAGCACATTAATGAGGTAATTTTATCTGATTTGTTGTCACAAAATGAAGGTAGGTGGGTCTAGATTTGAATTCTCTCCTGCGTCCTGTAAATCTGCACCTCATTTCCAATCACCTGCACCTCATGTCTGACATGCTGGTGAAGGTGGGGACGCAGACCAAGGTTCCCAGAAGTTTATTCAGACGGGGTGTTTACATTGAAAAGTGTCATTTCTATTCTATAGTTTTCATATGCGTGTAGCAAATTTTAAATGGAGAAATTTGGTTCTTAAAATAACCGTGCTGTGCCTTCTGGTTAACCTCCCTAATGGTATTCCCGAGTGTAGCTCGGGGTAAAATGTCAGTACCAAAAGTGGTAACCCCGAGCTACACTCGGGCTTACCATGCAGCGCTGTATAGGGAGTCCCTGCAGCACTTACCTTGTCCTTCGCTCCCGCGATGTGTCCCCTGCAGCGTTCCCGGCCATCTCCTCCGGCTGATGCCGGCATCCGGCTCCTGTGTTCCGGTCCCTGTGACGTCGGGACGTACGGGCGCCGCCTCCGGCGGCGGGAAATTTGAAAATTTAAAAAAAAGTCATTTTTTTCAAAACGATTTTACATGGTAAAACATTGCTATTTCACATACATTTTGTCCCGAGTGCTTTGTCCTGCACCCTGTCTGCATTTTGATTGTTCTTTCTGCCTGGAAACTTAGAAAAGTCCATGGCGTCCAAAAAGTGTCCCTTTAGGTCAAAAGCGGGTTTAGATCAGCTAGAGAACAGCGATAGTAAATCAGAACCACTTGCAGAATTGAGTGATAATGATTCGTGGGGGAAATTCGTCATCAGACACTGAAAACGATTCTGCGACTTTGCTCAGTGATGTGCGAACTTGGCGCTCTATTTCACATTTCAGTGTTTTTGGTTTGATTATATTATTGAATTAAATGTATGATTTAGACTCTTGTTCAGACAGATTTCAGTGAGTTATTCCTAAAAATTACAGCCTACAATAAAAAAACTACATATTTCCATGCAAAATAATTGTACCGCTTTCAGCACCAAAAATATGAAATAATCATACCGCTAGGGAGGTTAATAGTCCTGCACAGCATTGTGCTTTACTGCTTCTTTTACCTTTTTGCAAGCCTGGGATTGGGACTGTATGCAACAATGAATAGTGATTTCTAGGGGCATCAGCCAGATATGCTGTATAAGTTGCTTCATTGGTCCTACACGGACCAATGTAACTATGTAACATTATACCAGAATTCATCTTTAAGAATACTGGGGATGGCATGGGTGACCTAGCAATCAAGCTGCAGATTTGTTGATGTTTACTGATGTCAGAAGTATGTACCTTCTGCCTTTGTGAGCCGCTGATGATGCACATAGTCATCAGGAAAAAGTTAATGTTTTTAGAATAATTCCTCTTTTTCCATCTAGGTGGTGGTCGTTTACGGTTGTGATGTTAGACGTTAACCATTACTTCTGTTTGTTTTTCTTTTTCAATTTGTGTTCTGTGTCACCCCTCGCCCTCCAGAGGATTATACCATCCTTCCTGACCAGGCCATTTTTTGCGATACGGAGCTGCGTTACTTTAACTGACAATTGTGCAGTTATGCAACGCTGTACATAAATGAAATTTGTAAAAAAATTTCCGACAAAGCTTTCATTTGTGGTATTTGATCGCCTCTGTATTTTTATTTTTAAAGAACCAACAATTTTGAAAAAAAATATATTTTTTACTTTTGTTATAAAACATCCAATAAAAAAAACAATTTTTTTTTCTTAATTGTAGGCCAAAATGTATTCTGCTCCATGTCTTAGCCCAAAAAAAAAAAAAAAAAAAAAGAATCCTAATGCTTATAAATTAATTGGTTTACGTGAAAGTTATAGCGTTTACAATTTGCGGTATATAGACTGGAATTTTTATTTTTTTTATATTAGTAGTGGCGGCGATCAGTGACTTAAAGCAGGACTGCGGTGGGCATTCTGACACTGGGAGGAACTGATATCCCCAGTGATCAGTGCTAATAAAAAGCACTGACGTACTAATGATACTGGGCAGGAACATCTGGGGCGATCAAAGGGTTAACTGTGTGCTGTTATACACTAAGGAAACATGCTGTGTTGTATCTCAAAACAGCATGTCCATGCTGACAGGAGAGAGACCTGTGTTTTTACTTTTGCTGCTTGTAGACGCCCCTCCATGTTATCCTATGTGTCTATGCACACATACTTTTAGAGTCTTGTTGGTGGCAGGGGCATTAACGGGCAGTAAGAAAACCCAGGGCCAGTTTGTTCAGGAGCAGCAGCGTTTGGCAGAAAAAAAACATTTGACACTTGTAAGAGTGTCTAAATGCGCCTAGGTATGTTTAGTACTTGAGCATTAATTTTTCAGTGACCAGAACAAATCATTCTGGCCATTTAAATTAAGTGCTTGACGCCTGTAAATGCGCCTTTCACTAGCATCCAGCGGTTTTTCTGCCAAGTAATGGAGAAGCGTTTTTAAAACATCCTGTGTGCACGAGGCCTTGTATATTATTGATTTGTGGTCAAAAACATTTCCTACCTACCTATCTACATCAAAAGAATTGCTCTCCATTACGGTTAATGCCGCCTCCCACAACTCAAGTCCATAGGGCACAGTGGGAGCGTTTTATGCGTTTTTTGGGGTCGCTTTCCCATGTGGTCCCTGATGTTTTGTTTTTGATAGCCCATTCGTTCAATAGAAAGGGGTGGCTAAATTGTAATCTTTGCTTTAATTATTTTTTTCATTCCTAGTATCACTTAGTGATATGGATACCCATAAACAAACCTCCTCCCACATCACATTAACCCCTTAATGCTGAGCCTTCTGGCTCTTTAATGGGTTTATGTTCGTGTGACTGCCTTGATTGGCTGTCACAGCAGTGGCATGATTAAATAGCTTACAATCGCAGTAGTGATCGGGAGCTTTCTATTTGGCGCTGGTAACTGTGCCTGGAGTGCGCAGGGCATGCATTCTTGGCGCAGGTTTTTTTTTTACATTTTGGGTACGCAAATATGCAGCCTCTCGGCGTGAAGGCCCAACCACCTGGAGGCTGCATATTTGTGTACTCTAGGCGTGAAGGCCCAACCACCTGGAGGCTGCATATTTGTGTACTCTCGGCGTGAAGGCCCAACCACCTGAAGGCTGCATATTTGTGTACTCTAGGCGTGAAGGCCCAACCACCTGGAGGCTGCATATTTGTGCGCTCTCGGCGTGAAGGCCCAACCACCCGGAGGCTGCATATTTGTGTACTCTCGGCGTGATGGCCCAACCACCCGGAGGCTGCATATTTGTGTACTCTCGGCGTGATGGCCCAACCACCTGGAGGCTGCATATTTGTGTACTCTCGGCGTGATGGCCCAACCACCTGGAGGCTGCATATTTGTGTACTCTCGGCGTGATGGCCCAACCACCTGGAGGCTGCATATTTGTGTACTCTCGGCGTGAACAGGTTAAAAGGACCTTTGTCATGACAGTGGAGTCCATTAACAAAACTGATGCCAAGTTTTTGTTCAGCCAGAAAGCACTAGTTTATATTGAAAACTGTTAAGGTGGTTCAAGATTCAGACTTTTATTATGAGTGAGGGCTGTTTCTTGTGCATGTTGATGAACATCCTTCAACTGACTAAATAGCCTCTGTTAATGCACTTGAATGTAATGCCCCTGAAGATGGCTAACCTCTAATACTGAATATGTTGTAAATTGCCAGGTTTATTATGCTAAGAAGAAACGCCGTGCCCAACAAGTGCCACCTGAAGACTCTAGCACGAAGAAAGAAAGGAAAGTGTTCAACGATGGATTTGATGATGACAATTACGATTACATAGTGAAAAATGGGGAAAAGTGGATGGACAGATATGAAATAGATTCACTGATTGGGAAGGGATCGTTTGGACAGGTACGGTGTGAAAAGTTGCACTGAAATATTTTAATATATTTTGCAAGCTTGTGTGTGTATATATATGTGTGTATATGTGTATGTGTGTGTATAATATATATATATGTGTGTGTGTGTGTATATATACATATACACACACACTTAATGGTTAGCATTTCCACCTGGCTTGAATCCCAGCCATGGCACCACCTGCCTGGAGTTTGCATGTTCTCCATGTGCCTGCGTGGGTTTCCTCTGGGTACTCCGGTTTCCTCCCATGTTCCAGTGACATGCTGGTAGGTTATTTGGCTCCGGTCTAAATTGGCCCTAGTATGTGCATGTACGAATGTGAGTTAGGGACCTTAGATTGTACGCCCCTTGAGGGTTAGGGACTGATGTGAATGTACAATATATATGTAAAGTGCTTTGTAAATTGACAACGCTTTATAAGTACCCGATAGATAGATCGATATAGATATATATCTATATCTATCTATATATATATATATATATATATATATATATATATATATATATATATATATGTATATATATCTGTATCTATCCATGCACTCACCTGCAAAGAGTTTGCAAAGTGTGTTCCGGTTGTGCTATGAGGCTGCATTGGTTAGGGGGTGACCTTACTTTATGGAGTCTTCAGTCCTGGATGCTGCTGCATCTACTGCGTGGTTTTTGGACTGCCCAATAACATTTGAAGCCTATCTTAAAGAAAAACTCTAAAGATATAAAATACGTTATTTTCACGTATACATCACTTAATGTGTTTTTTAAATGAAAAGCATAAATATACCTGAATTTTTACTGTTTGAGCCTCATGCAACCCACTGCTTAGACTGGGAAAATAGCAAGTCAGTTGTACCGCAGTGTTCATGTAATAAGATAGGGCATATGTAGACGGACAGCTGTGCTTATTTAGTCTGCAACTTTTTTCACTGTCCAGTCAGTCTGGAGAACGGGACAAAACCCGTCTGGATGGACATAAATACAAATCCGTGGGCAGTTAAAATGCCTTCCAGATATGCATATCATTTCTGTATTTAGCGGTTGACCTGTATTTCGGCTTTAGGGCTTGTTTACATAGGCAATACTATAGGGTACAACTCTGGGAGGGCCGTATTTGGCCACACAGAGATGCTGTCCTCTATGTAGACAGTCCTTTTCATGACAATTGGGATACAGCGGCTGCACGAACACTGCTCCCAGTTTGACAGCCCTGAATGCAGACATGAGTTTGGGCCCGGCTGGCACAGCCCTCGCATAGGTTTGCAGTATAGTATGCCCCTGTAAACAAAGCCTTGAGAGTCTGTCGGTGGCATCAGTTTAGGACCCTTGAGGTCATTCAGAACTCCCAGGAGCATTTGATTTGCAGTTGACCTTCTTCTGACCTGAATTCGATCTTCAAAGCGTGTTTCCTTTTTTTTTTTTTTTTCATTCCCATCAATTTGTATTGAAATGCAAAACCCACCTGATACTGATTCACAGGTCTTAGAGCTCCTTTCCCTCTTGGTTTACGGAAGTACTGACCGCTCCCACCTCCTGCCACTGATAATTAGCACTTTGACTGCCTGGCTTATTTACTCTTTCAGAAGATGTGTCAACTCATATATGAATTGGCACTTATACTATGTGGATTTGATTTGACCGCATCCAATCCCTATGAAATAATATTGCTGCCTATGGTGCCTGTTCACATATGTCTGGTGCACAGACAGTGCGGATTCAGTGCTGTTTGAGAGAGTCATGTACGATTTCTGAGTGGTGGCATCAGGTTCAGGTGCGGATTACAGGCTATTGACTTGTATGGGAACCATTTCTAAACCGCACATGTGTGAACAGAATAAAATCCTGGCCTAATCCTGTGCTGAACCTGATGTAAACCTGCCATAAACCTCTGAACAACTACTGTGTCAATTAACTGTAAAACCTGAGCTTCAATCTGCACTGCACAAGGGCGAATCAGCACTAAAACAGGTTTCGGCGGTCTATGGTTTTAGGCCTGGTTCACACCTATGCAGGTTATGGATGTGTTTTCTTGACGCACTTTTCAGTTTCCTAACACCCATTTTTTTAACGTGTTTTTAATGCATTTTTGAGAGGTGTCTGTTGTCTCGCTGCAGAAACGCGTCAAAAAGCGAAAGCACTACATTTTTTTTTTTTTTTTCCATTGAAGTCTATGGAACCAAAACGCAACCTACTGTGAAAAAGTCCCTGACCCTTTTCAAAATAAATGATGCACAGATGTGCATGTGACCCATAGGAAACCATGTTAAATGGACTGTAGTGAATTTCTGCAAAACTGAAAACGCACTGAAAGACGTATAGGTGTGAACCAGGCCTTATATAATATGTCTACTGTGTTCATCCTATGGTAATGAAAATAACCCGATATACAGCCCCCAATAATACTGACAATGCTTTGGCTGTAATAGTGAAATGTAAGCAGCCTTGTTGTGTATGTTTTCACAGAATATTGCGTTGCCTCTAACAGGTTGTCTTCTATGATCTTTTAGGTGGTGAAGGCGTATGATCACCATGATCAAGAATGGGTAGCCATTAAAATCATCAAAAATAAGAAAGCATTTTTGAACCAGGCCCAAATAGAGCTGAGACTTCTTGAGCTTATGAACAAGCATGACACGGAAATGAAGTATTATATTGGTGAGTATTGAACCTGGCAGAGTTCTAGCTGCCTTCAGTTTTGGAGAAAGCGGCTTAGACACCCCTTGGGCTCCTTTCACACTTGTGGGATCTGACTTGTGAGACCCCAAGTCGCAGAACATATGAAGTTCAATCACAGCAAATACTTTACTCCTGCGCTGGGGATGGACTCAGGAGAGGCTAGGATGACAATGTAAATGTTCTAAAATGGGCACTGCTTGCTGCCCTCAACGGACCGGGGTAGTGCAAAGTCACTAAATGCAAAAGAAAAAAAAACAAAAAGAGGGCACAGCGGCCTAGTGCATTATCGTTTAAAATATTTTTGAAAGAGTAAAAAAAAGTAGGTATTGTACTCACGATGGGCATATAAAACACAGGCACGTCACAATGAACAAAGGTGTTCAATCCATATAGCATCTGAGTCCACAACGATGGAACCCCGGATGACCAACTGGCTGACGCGTTTCGAGGACTCAGCCTCTTCCTCAGAGTCAACACTCCAAGAGTCTACACTTCTCTTATATAGCAGTAGTTAGCCTATATAGGAAGTGTTGGCTCTGATAATGCACTAGGCCGGTGCTCCCTCTTTGTTTTTTTCTTTTGTATATGAAATTCAATGTATTTCTTTGAAAGCCGTTCCTACAGAAGTCGCTGCGACTTCAGATCTGACTTTTGATATGACAGAGAATGTAAAGTCAGATCAAAGTTGTGCTCCTAAGTCGCACTGGATATTGTGCAGCTTTGGAGACATGCTAATGGAAAAGGAGCCCTAATCAAAATGTTTTTTATAGATATAGATAGATAATAGATAGATAATAGATAGATATAGATAGATAGATAGATATGAGATAGATAGATAGATAGGAGATAGATAGATACGGAGAGATAGATAGATACGGAGAGAGATAGATACGGAGAGAGATAGATATAGATAATAGATAGAGAGAGATAGATACGGAGAGAGATAGATAATACGGAGAGAGATAGATACGGAGAGAGATAGATACGGAGAGAGATAGATATAGGAGAGATAGATAGATACGGAGAGAGATAGATACGGAGAGATAGATAGATAGATACGGATAGAGAGATAGATACGGAGAGAGAGATAGATACGATAGAGAGAGATAGATACGGAGAGAGATATATATAATAGATATATATAGATGTGTATATATAAACATTTTCTGTACTTTGATAGATTTGTAAATAATTACATTTCAATGAAAGTTTAACTTGACTGAGAGGGGCTAACCACTCTATCCAAAACTAAAACAAAGCAGGTTTAGCGTACAGTTTAATTTTTAATTTGTGGAACATCTCTGAGGGGATACACACCATGTTGCATTGTACCTTGTCTTGTTCCTATCTCCGTATACAGCCTCAGCACGTCCATTGTGTTTGAGGACTTTTATGATCATTTTTGCTGCAACAAAACTTTGCCTAGTTGGACGCAGTGTACACAAGTCCATTGGGACTGGCTGTAATTGTTTTCCTTTTTCCTTTTTGTCTTGCAGTGCATTTAAAGCGGCACTTTATGTTTCGGAACCATCTGTGTCTGGTGTTTGAATTGCTGTCCTACAATTTGTATGACCTTTTAAGAAACACAAACTTCCGCGGCGTTTCCCTGAACCTGACCCGCAAGTTTGCTCAGCAGCTGTGCACGGCTCTCTTGTTCTTGGCCACTCCCGAGCTCAGTATAATTCATTGTGACCTAAAACCGGAAAACATTCTCCTGTGTAACCCAAAGCGCAGTGCCATCAAGATTGTGGACTTTGGCAGCTCCTGTCAACTTGGGCAAAGGGTACGTTCATCCTTGGATCTGCGGGTCACCCTATGAGTCTGGTGATTCAGTGTAAAAGGCTATGCTATTTTTTTTTTTTTTTTTTTATTGCGATGGGATTGGGATTTTTCTTCTTTTTGCCTCAACACTTGTTGAAGCAGATCAATTTCTGCTAAATGATACCTGGTATTGACAAAAACTAGTATATCAAGGTGTTTTTCTAAAGATTTTCTGGAATATTTTTGTGATTACTGTTTGACAAGGAAGCATCCCACCTTGCCTACCGCTACCGGGGTGTTGCAGGAAAGTTAGACTGCAGGATGTCTGAAGTCCAGCAAGTGAGCTCCAGCAGTCTGAGCCAGTTTGCTTACACCTAATAGAAAAGCAAATCCCAGTGCTGGTGAAAGAAATATCCCATTGGCTCATGACTCAGTGTAATCTGAGGATGGAGTGCACCTCTGCAGCTCACCAATTTGCCTTCAGCTTTGAGTTTTCCTGCCCCCGCTTGCATCGGTTAGGAAGCTTTGCCAGATCAGTATGACGAGCAGCGTGGCACCTTCATAATTCCAAAAAAACACTCAGCATATCTTGCTTTTACTCCCATACTTCATCAATCTTTTTTTTTCTTTTCTTTTTTGGGGGGGGGGGGGGGGGGGGAATTTATTTAATTGATAAAAGGTGCTAGAAAGATACCCTTTTTAGCTTTCTCCACATCTGCTGCCAACCAAGCTGTTTGCCAGAAAGTTTGTGGTGGGAAATGCATGTTCGTGGGTTGCGATTTGTCCCTACCACTATAACTTTTGCTACTCAGCTTGGTCTGCATGCACTTAGAGAAGCACTTACAATAGTGCGTATAGAGATAGATGGGGAGCGTTGCATCAACTACCCAGTAGGGGATAGGGGGTGGACCATGGGTGGTTATATTAGTAGAAGGTCCATGTGAAAATTGTCATCCAAGTCCATCTTTATTGGAAGGCTTGTGGGTATGTGGGCTTGTAGAATGAGGCGGTCGGCTGTAAGAGCTTGTAGATACTCCTATATGCAGGTAGAGAAGAGAGTGGCGCCAGTGGCGCCAGTGGGGATAGGGGGTGGACCATGGGTGGTTATATTAGTAGAGGTCCTGAAAATTGTCATCCAAGTCCATCTTTATTGGAAGCTTGTGGGTATGTGGGTTGTGGACAGAATGAGGCGGTCGGCTGTAAGAGCTTGTAGATACACCTATATGCAGTAGAGAAGAGAGACAGTGGCGCCACTCTTAAGTGAGGCCTGTCTGCTACTCCCCGAGCCCTGGACACCACCAGATCGGCGGGGATACACCTAGAGTGCCCCATGGGACGATCTACTCCACCCACGGACTACCAGTCCTCATAACATGCCTATTATTATCTACTCTTGTGAGTGCATTTTATCATTAATTTACCTGCTTTTAACCTCTTCACGCCGGCAGCACACAAATGTGCGGCCTCCCGGCGTCTGGGCCTAGATGCCGAGCGGCCGCACATTTGCATGCAATTAACAAAAAACATATGTGCTGAGAATCGCGCACGCTGCTCGCTCCCAGCACACATGTCCGGTACTCACGGAAAGGTCCCGGTCTGATCTTTCGATCGGGACCTTTCCCAATCATGTGACCACCGTGATGATGCATCACGGCGATCACATGATCCCTAAACCCCGTCCTGCCTCCCGGCTTCTGAAACTCTTAAAAGGTCGGGAGGCGCCGGCGGGAAGGGGTTAATACCATCTACACTTAGAGTGGCGCTGCTGTCTCTCTTCTCTACTTACAACAGTGAGAACTACTATATCTTAGCCTTGACTTATTTTTTACACTGAAGGTCTTTGTTTTTTTTTTTGTTCTTTTTTTGAGACCCATAAAACAAAAGATACTGCAGGAAAATATTCTTCTTGTGTATGACTTTATTAACTCCCAAACTTATTATTTTAAAGATCTACCAGTATATTCAAAGTCGTTTTTTACCGATCGCCTGAGGTGCTGCTGGGAATGCCGTACGACTTGGCGATAGACATGTGGTCATTAGGGTGTATATTGGTGGAAATGCACACTGGAGAGCCTTTATTCAGTGGATCCAATGAGGTAAGCAATGCCAGGATTTTCCACTTTTTTTTTTTCTTAACTTTTAGCAGTGTGAAATTTTATTTTGCAATGTTTTTAATCATTTTAATGTCCAGGATGTTCATGAAAGGCAATGTTAAGCTTTCGGAACCATTGAACCATCTTGCATAGTGCAAGCAAGTACGCACTCCTCATGTCATTTAAAGTGGTTTAAAAGGCTGAAGGTTTTGGCTCCCGCTGTTGGCAATCGCAGACAGCGAGGAAGGGGTAGGACTGAGTGACGCTCTGTGTGTGTAATAGAAACACAGGCGGTTCAACAGCAAATACGGACAAGTGCCTCCAGAGCAAGCAGCTTGTTTCGGGGGCACTTGGCTAGGGGGAGAAGCCAGAAGCGCAGGCGTGGGAGCTGAGAAGAGGATCGGGGCTGTTTATTATTTTCAAAGGGCCTTTTGACACACTTTAAGGCTTTTCCTACTTTACTCAGTTTTTTTTCAGCATTTCTTGAACTGTTTGAAAAATTAAATATTTACAGTGCCATGTCCCACAAGGTATGGGCTTTCATACTATCACTGAAAAGTATATCCGAGCCCCCTATCTGCTTGTTTATCATTTTCTCTGTATATGTAGAGCAAGCAGAGCACCATGGCTTCTTTAGAACAACGCTTACACTAGGATTGTTAGCCCCAAGCTCTATATGAACTACAAGATCGTGGTAGGGAGACTGTCAGCTGGGGGGGGGGTGCAACTGGTGGATACTTCTTCTACACCTCTTGCGGTCATTCGATCATGCAAGTTCCTCCACATTATCAAAGTTAGGGGCACCTTCTTGAAAGATCCGCCTCAGCTGCACGTTTGCAAACGTCTGTAATCTCCTAGCAGGGGCGTACTGACCGTTTGGAAACTCGGGCACTGCCCGAGGGCCCGGGGGGTCAGTAGGAGGCCCCATGAGATGCCCCTGGTACCTTTTTCATAGGCTTTTTTGAGTTTGGGCAAGGACACAGGAGCCCCATGATCCCCTATTGCCCGGGGGGCCCCATGATCCCCTATTGCCCGGGGGGCCCCATGATCCCCCTATTGCCCGGGGGGCCCCATGATCCCCTATTGCCCGGGGGGCCCCATGATCCCCTATTGCCCGGGGGGCCCCATGATCCCCTATTGCCCGGGGGGCCCCATGATCCCCTATTGCCCGGGGGGCCCCATGATCCCCTATTGCCCGGGGGGCCCCATGATCCCCTATTGCCCGGGGGGCCCCATGATCCCCTATTGCCCGGGGGCCCCATGATCCCCTATTGCCCGGGGGGCCCCATGAGTTGTCAGTCCGCCCCTGTCTCCTAGTGTTCATTATGTAAAATAAATGGAGTGTTCATCAACAATAGTCTGTAGTTACCATGGTACGAACTAGGGCTCCGCTTATGTAGTCTCAATAAATGATAAAAGATGGCGGGACATTTGACCTCGTGTGTGTTTTGAATATTTGTATTCCCCAGTTATAGCATTGCCAATAGGCACATTAACAGCTTTTGTAGCTTAACCTCTTAATGCCGGCCGAAGGCAAATGTGCGGCCTCCTGGCGTCTGGGCCTAGACGCCGAGCGGCCGCACATTTGCATTCTATTAAAAAAGGACATAAGTGCCGAGAGCGCGCGCCCTGCACGTACCCAGCACACATGTCCGGTACTTACGGAAAGGTCTTGATCTCCTCTTTCGATCGGGACCTTTGCCGATCATGTGACCTCCGCGACGATGCGTCATGGCGGTCACATGACCCTAAACCCCACCCCGCCTCCCGGTTGCTGAAACTCTCAAAGGGCCGGGAGGCGCCGGCGTGAAGGGGTTAAGGCCTTTGGAAAGTGAAAGCTTGAAACTGGTTGTTGTGAAGCAATGCAGTCTGTGACTGTTCTTACCAGAGATGCATACAGACCTGTATAGCGTTGGCGGTTATTCTGAGCAACACAAAATCCTGATTTAATCTTCAACATTTCGGCATTTCATGTGAATGTGAAAACTGGGAGTTGATTTCATTGGGAAAGTGGATTGCTACCTGTTTAAGAATAAGTGTCCCCTGAGCTTGCGTAACTACCCTCCCCTACCACGAATGCCAGCTTACCACCATCTCATGGCCACAGTACGCTCTACTGAAGGAAGGGCCTGGTATTCCTGTCCTCACTATGATTTCCCCTTCGCTCTCCAGTCCAGTGCTACTCTTTCAGACTGTCCCCTGGACAGGATCTCTCAACCTCCGTAAATACCTTTTTATGCAAGAAATGTTCTAATATGTTGACTTATGACCGCAGGTGGACCAGATGAACAAGATAGTTGAGGTCCTCGGAACTCCCCCAACCCACATGTTGGATCAGGCCCCAAAAGCAAGGAAATACTTTGATAAACTTCCTGAAGGTTCATGGACTGTAAAGAAAAATAAAGATATCAAAAAGGTATTTTTGGATTTGTCTTTTGCATTCAAAATAAAGTTTCTTGTGATGCCCTAGTTTGTATGATGCGGTCAGGGTATTTGTTTCAACATTACAAGAAAAATTACATTGTATTCATCTTCTGCACAAGATTACTACCAATGTTTGCTTTTTGCTTGTATGAGCGCACAGATTATACTGACAGGCCTGCATAAGTCCTGCATCTGCTGAGCTGGTGCAATGCTTTACTGGCTCCCAAAAAAAAAAAAAAAAAAATAGTAAATGCACATTTTTTAATTTTTGTTTGTACTTACAAAATAAAAAAAAACATTTATTTATTTATTTTAAAGTGAACTTAGCCTTTAACCCTTTCTTCCAACGGAAGCTGGTTCTTTAACCACTTGCCCTCCTGAGGATTTACCCCCCTTAATGACCACGCCTCTTTTTGCTACTCGGCGCTGCACTAATTCAACTGATAATTGCGCGGTCATGCAATGCTGCACCCAAACGAAATTTACGTCCTTTTTTTCACACAAATAGAGCTTTCTTTCAGTGGTATTTGATCATCTGTGCGCTTTTTATTTTTCACGCTATAAACAAAAAAAGACCAAACATTTTGAAGAAAAACAATATTTTTTACTTTCAGCTATAAAAAATATATAGTAAACTCAAAGTTGGTTATAAATTTTGGCCAAAATGTATTCTGCTCTATGTTTTTGGTAAAAAAAATCCCAATGAGTGTATATTGATTGCTTTTGTGTGAAGTTATAGCGTCTACAAACTATGGTATCGATACTGCAATTTACGCCTTTTTTTTTTTTGCTATACAGCACTGCGCTAGTTTAACGGACAATTGCGCGGTCATGCAATACGGTACATAAGTGAAATTTATGTCCTTTTTTTCACACAAATAGAGCTTTCTTTCGGTGGTATTTGATCGCCTGTGTGGTTTTTATTTTTTGCGCTATAAAAAAAAAAAAAATGACAATTTTGAGAAAAAAAAAAACAATATTTTGAACATTTTGCTATAAAACATGTCCAGTAAAAAAAATTTCGGGCCGAAAAAAAATCAGCCAAAATGCATTCTGCGACATGTCTTTGCTAAAAAAAAAAAAAAAAAAAAAAAACCCAATACGTGTAAATTAATTGGTTTACATGAAAGTTATAGCGTTTACAAATGGCAGGAAAGATAGTCGGATTTTTATACTAATAATGGCGGCGATCAGCGACTTATGGCAGGACTGCGGCGGACATTGTGACACTGGGGGGGAACTGACATGGGGTCACTGATATCCCCAGTGACACCAATACAGTGATCAGTGCAAAAAAAAAAAAACACTGACACTGTACTAATGGCACTGGGGAGGAAGGGGTTAACTTTTTTTAACAACTGAAAGGGTTAACTGTTTGAGGGGAGTGTTTTACTAGGGGGTGGGGTGTGTACTGCATGGAAACGCTGATCAGGAGAGATAAACTCTTCTCTCCCGATCAACCTGTCAGGAGCTGTCAGGGAACTGACAGAGAGCAGAGCTACTGCAGCCCTGCTCTCTGTCAGTGATTGCCGCTAATCAGCAGGACACAGCCAGTAATGACCGGCTGTGACCTGGTGACTGACACCCGTGGCTGGGATCGGCGGTGCAGGTAGGGCGGCGGCGCGCCTCGTGTGCGCCCCCTGCCTGTTTTATAAAAGCGCGTTTTAAAACGTGCTTTTGCCCAGCCGTGCTGCCCTGCCGCCGTATTTCTACAGTGGCTGGGCGGCAGGTGGTTAAGGGGATCTAACGCCAGGAGCATGGGCTCCTATCACGTAATTAGGAATCAATTCCTACTGGCTCCCTCTCTTCGACATATGACTGGCATTATTCTGTGCTGCCACTATGAGTATTTATAGGGGACAGTTTTGCTGGGAGCACCCCTTGCACTCTGACCATGCTGTTACTGGCAGCTGCCACTTGTATTTGTACAGCTGGTGGGAAGGGGTTATTACTGCAAATTTGCTTTTTGAAAATGGATACCTCATCAGTGGGCCCTGTGGTGTATTTGTGGAACATTTTTGTTTCAGGCACAGGTGGCCCTTGAAGGCCTAGTTGGATTTATGAGCCCCCATTTTATGTTTTTATTTTGTTTGGCAGTAACTGGTTACTTTAGTAGCTGAGAGAGAATTGTGCCTGACAGTTGTGCATGTTGCTTCCATTGACGCGTGTTCATTGTATGCTCTCTATTTAGGACTACAAAGTACCGGGGACTCGGAGACTTCATGAAGTTCTGGGTGTGGAGACTGGTGGCCCCGGAGGGCGCCGGGCCGGTGAACAGGGACATTCTCCATCCGACTATCTCAAATTTAAAGATTTAATTCTGCGGATGTTGGATTATGACCCCAAAACTAGGATTACCCCTTTCTATGCTCTCCAGCACAATTTCTTCAAGAAAACGACGGATGAAGGGACAAACACAAGTAACAGTAACTCTACAAGCCCTGCAATGGACCATAGTCACTCAACCAGTACAACCAGTTCTGTGTCCAGCTCAGGTGAGCGGTCATATACAACCGATGACCAATAAAAGGTGAACTCTGGGCAGGATTGAGTGCACACTCCCTTCACCCGTATGTTGCACTGCTAGTGGTTTTTTTTTTTTTTTGTTTTCCTGGTAGTACTTTGTGGAAGGAGCAAAGATTTGTGAGTAGGGGATCAGGGAACTTCATGAATGCACATGAGCGCACAGTAACCAGCCTCACAGTGGTCTTCTATTGAACATTTCGACTTGCTTTAAAGCAATTGGAAGGGTGCTTAGAGGTATTAGAAAATGTTTTAATAACTAATGTTTTAGAACTAGACCCTAAAGCAGCAATGGGCAAACTACGTCCCGCTGCCTTTTAATCCGGCCCGCGGATCTATGAGGATCTGTCCCCCTCGACGTATCTGCGCATGTGCCGGAGATCGCCGATCGGTTGCTAATGCCTGAAACTGGCACATGCGCAGATACGTCGAGGGGGACAGATCCTCATAGGAGACAGTTTTTCATGCTACACCGGAACGGCGCGGGAACACGGCGAGAGGAACGCGCAGAGCAAAGGTAAGTGAATTGACACAGGGGGGACTTGGGGACTTAATATGGGGAATGAATTAATATGGGGAATGAATTACTATAGGGGGAATGAATTACTATGGGGGATTAATTACTATGCTTACTATGGGGGAATATTACTATATGGGGGATGAATTAATATAGGGGGAATGAATTACTATAGGGGGAATGAATTGCTATAGGGGGGATGAATTACTATAGGGGGGATTAATTACTATGCTTACTATGGGGGAATATTACTATACTTACTATGGATGACACATACACATCATTCATCTACTCTTGGTCCGGCCCCCAGGTCCAATATATGAACCCATTGCAGCCCTCAAGTCAAAAGGTTTGCCCACCCCTGCCCTAAAGGCACAGCCTGCTGGTGATTACCTGCAAAGCAGTGTTTGCGTAACACTATTTTCATCCATTAGGGCTTGTTTACACTTGCTGTTGGGGGAGTGATGAAACCAGGGGCGGACTGACCATTTGGAAACTCGGGCACTGCTCGGGGTCAGTAGGGGGCCCCATGAGATGCCCCTGGTACCTTTTTCATAGGCTTTTTTCAATTTGGGCAAGGACACAGGGGCCCCATGATCCCCTATTGCCCGAGGGCCCCATGAGTTGTCAGTCCGCCCCTGGATGAAACCCTGCAGTTAAGCTGCGTTTTTACCATCCCTCAACCGCTGCCTTTTTAGCTGGAAAGGCAGTGGCCTGGGGTGTACACATGCTGTGCCCACGGTGCCTTGCTTTCGTGCCTGGGGCAGAAATTACACCCTGTTGCCCTCTGAACTCGACCCATTCAAGTAAATGGGACTACACGGCAACCACACAAGTGAAGGACATTTAGGTGGTTAAAACAAGCATTAGGTAAGGAGGTGCCTCACTGCCTGTCAGATGCTCTCTGAAGAGTGCTTTGAATGCAGATCACTCTTCAAGGAACAAAGAAAATGTAAACTAGAGCTCCGTAAGACTCCTATGTATTCTATTGCGGTGGGTTGTACATTCTGTGTACATTATCACCCGCTCCGCTTGTATCACACTCTTTTACTTGAGACCAGACTGAGCAGAGCCTTTTTGAACAGCTCACACTTGCAACCTTACTGTGAGGAATCTGAAAAGATTGCTGCTGTGTGCACCTTGTAGCTGATAGTTCCAAGGTAAAACAGTTACTTAGGCCTGGTTCACATCTATGGGGGTTGGCACGGGCACAGCAGCCCATTCAAGTCTGGTGCCCTGCCTGCGTTTCACACAGTAAAAAGGTTCCTGCACCATTCAAAAAATGCAACAGCCAGGAAATCACATGATGATTTTGCACCATGTGATTTCACTGCTGTTCCCACAAGCACGCAGCGTTTTTTTTTCTGCATGGGGGTCTCATCCAGAATGAATGGCCACCCCGCGCATAGTCAAACAGCAGATCATTTTGACTGCTGCTTGTTGCTGGTGTGGAAACCCGCATAGATGTGAACCAGGCCTTGAACCTTGTGACCAGACTTGCACTGCTCTGACAGTCTGCTTGTCATGAAGAAGGGAGCAGGTTATAATCCAATTCCTCCTCATGGCAAATGGGTAATATTCCTATATATTTTATATTGATATAATATTATATATATATATATATATATATTATTATGAGAGAGAGAGAGATTATTATCAATATATTGATATAATAATACATGATATATATATATTTTATATGAACAACATTTTGTTTTTCTGTATATGTCCTGAAACGTTTACAAAATTAAAAGGCACATTATAAACGCAAAAAACGGCCCAAAACTGCTAAATCTGTTTTGAGAAATTGCAGAATTGTTTAGCAAGACTGGTGGTCATCTGCTTGGAAAAGAAGCCCCAGTGAATAGAAATTTGTTTACAGTGGGTGGAGATTTTCAGCAAGCGCCATGTAATTCCCGGAAGTGACACACTGCCAGCTCTCACCCCAACTGCTCCTGCTTCTGATATTCAAAGGGAGGCCTGCAAAGCTTCCTCCGAAATTCTAATGCATCAACATTATTAAACAGTAGTTATATAGCGCCAACAGTTCCCTCAGCGCTGTACATTACAATGGGAGACAATACACGAGACAGTACAATAACAATACAATGCGATACACGAGGGGTTTGAAGGCCCTGCTCCTTGGAGCTTACAATCTAGGAGGGAGGGGATGGTGGTACAGGAGGAGATAGCTGTGGGGGATGGAGTGGTAGGAAGAGTGGAGGAGGTCGGCAATTGGCTGAGGGCGGGGTAGGCTTCCCTGAAGAGATGGGTTTTAAGGGTGCGCCTAAAGGGGAGGAAGCGTCTGACTGCCAGGCATGATGAATCAGCTGTTGGAGGAACTTCTGGGTACCGACACGGTTATCGTTGACAGTACCCACAAGTTCCTCCAACAGCTGATAGACTGACTGTACTCTATAATTAAAGTAATGGCGCTTTGTCAGCTCAACATTTCAATTGGCTGCATATATACGGGGGGGGTAACGGGTAAGATCAACAGGTAATTACTGGCGAACTGTTACTATGTAATAAAAGGCTAAAATGAAGGGTTGTGATGTCATGCACCTACTTTTTTTCATTTTTTAGGTTGAAATGCACTTAGAAAACAAATATGGACAAAAAAGCTTTGGCCATACTTTTTTTTTTTTTTTTTTTTTTTTTTTTTTTTTAGAGTCACAAGAATGCACTTTTGCAATCCAGTGACCCGCAATAAGCAGACAGCAGGCAAAATCCTTCTATCTGACATCACAGCTCCAGGTTCTGGAAGGATCCTGACAATGATGTCTGAATCCACCTGCATACGTGATCAGCAGCCTTTCAGTGTGCTGCTGAGAGCCTGAGCCAGCTGCTTCCATCCCATCTCCACCTCGGCGCTCCAGTGGGTGCTGAAGAGGCAGAGCAGGAAGCAGTGACTGAGCGATCTGCTGCAGCAGATTTTTTTTTTTTTTTTACTAATTCTCAAGGTTTTCCTTTTTAAAGCCTAACCCCCAGTAGAATAAAAAAAATCCCTTTCATTGGGCTTTACCTGCATTACAAAGGGTTAATTGCTCATTTAGGTCTATGGGAACAAAATAGATGATTTACCTACCCAATCCCCTGCATCTTTATACCGGTCCCTGCAGCTTCTTCTCCCCTGAACTCCAGCATTCTAGGTTCCTGGCATCAAGACCAAAGCAGGGTACATAGCTTTTGCATTGGACATGTTCATGTTGGGGCGAATGTCCACCACTGGAACATGAGGGAGCTCCATATGCTGGGGGGGGGGGGGGGGGGAGAACAGGGTCAGGTAAGCAACTTTTTCTCCTGTCCCCTAGGCAAAACCAGCAATTAACCCTTGCAGTATGGACACAGCCCCACTTCATGGGATAGTTTAAAATGATCCCAGAGTTGGGCTGTAGTCTACTGTTTAAATCAAGGGAAATGTTTACTAGGAATGGTGTCATACCTTCAGCTTTGTAGCATTTAGAAATCTTGTAGCTGGATGCAGAGCGAGTTGTACCCGACCTGTCTGCAGCACCTATACCCGCTGTTGTGCTCTTTTTCTAGCACTTTCATTGAGATTCTTTCAGACACTGCCAACACACCATTGCTCAGAGATAATGATCATTGAGACACAAACTTCTCAACTGCGATTTTATTCCTGGAACCAAAATCACTAAGTGGAGCAAATCTCTGTAGCTCCTGCAATACGGTTTGTGTAATGTGGTGCTAGGAATTAATATACAACCTGCCTAGAAGATGATGGTTTGATGGAAAGTTTGAATCTGATTTGTAGCTTCAGGGAATCAACTTCTCTTGAGTACCAGCATGCTGATACAGGATTCTTAGTGGGCAGCACAGTGGCTCAATGGTCAGCACTTCCGCCTGGCAGTACTGGGGTTGTCGGTTCGATTTCCAACCACGGCACCTCCTGCCTGGGGTTTGCATGTTCTCCCTGTGTGGGTTTCCTCTGGTTACTCATGTTTCCTCCCACACTCCAAACATGCTGGTAGATTAATAGGATCCTGTCTAATTTGGCTCTAGTATGTGTATGTATGAACCCCGGTTCACACTGATGCGGTGCGGAATAAGCAGCATTTTCTGTGCCAACTCCGCACCCTGTTCATGCGAACCGCTGTGGGCGTTTATTTTAAGTTAACACCTCGAAAGCGGTCCTCAAAGCGCTGTGCGATGTGCAGAATTGGATGGCATAGGTGTGAATACCCATGCTATCCGATTCTAGTATGGACCCAAAATGGGTCCTGCATGGTTTTGCTGCGGGTGCGGTGCAATTTAGATCCATAGAAAATGTACTGCTCCAATCGCCCCGCACACAAATCGCATGTGATGTGCACAGGAATGCAGTGCGGTTCCTGTGTGAATCACATGCGATATGCCGCACCGCATATATGTGAACCTGGGCTGAATGTGAGCTAGGGACCTTAGATTGTAGGCTCCTTCGAGGGCAGGGACTGA